TATATATATATATATATATGTATATATATACATATATATATGTATATATATACATATATATACATATATATATATATATATATATATATATATATATATATATATATATATATATATATACATATAACTGTCGATTGTTCTCAACCAATCTAACTGCCTGTATAGCCGACCGATCGCAACTGGCCTGGTCAATATCTGGTGGTTCTCAACCCACCAGATAGTCATTATAGCAAATTGATCGCAACCAATTGGGTTATCATGCACAACAACATAGAAGCCAAACAACATGCAACTCACCTTAACACATAACGAGGGGGATCATCGGGGAACACTTAACCCAACATAACTCATACGTAACAAACTAGATTAACCCACTCACGACACTCCTACGGGATCATACATCTTCCTCCTAGGCCAACGGGATACCAATTCAACTAGCATGCAACTCACAAGACTCTTTTATCCTAAGAACGGTAGCCGATACATCAATCTAGACTCACACACGACAAACGGGATACAGCGCGAGACGGGGAAAAACACCACGAACCACGCCGGAATTCCAGCGAGTAGGTGGAGTGTGGAGGACCACTCGCCAACCACCCACCGGCGGTGAGCACTATTCCAGCGGGTGGCCGGCGGGCAGTCCACCACGCGCCGGCTGCCCGCTGGAACAGTAGTGGCGGGCAACGGGTAGGTGGCAGGATGTCAGTCCCCCACCTACCCCCCACTGATACTCAGGCAACTTTATGGTCCCGGGATCCTTCGTGGAACCCAAAACCATGTCCAAACACATTAAAACACATAACGACTACACCACGTATTTAATTTACGAATTTGAACCAAGAATCACAACCAATACGTTCAGACACGAGTCCTAAACATGCCAAGACCTAACACGAATCATATAACGGTTCAGGAGCATCCGGAACCCCAAGAACATCAAGAAGTCTATATGCAAGTCCTAAACACAAATCCTAGGCTAGACTCAACTCCCGATCATGCATAATTCCGCCCAAATAAACCAAGAACACCATAATATGAATTTAACGATACAACCCTAGGGCTCTAGACACAATCGAAATACGAGATCATTCATATAATTAATCATAGCATCAAGAACATCAAGATTATCACATAAGCATCAAGATTATCATCTAAACACAATATAAATCCTAGGCAAAGCTCTATCAAGACTCAAGCACAGAATCATATATCGAAGGAGCCAATGAATAAGATATAGCGAGGAAAATAGGTTTTGTTGAGACATGGGTTACCTCTTAGCCTTAATCAATCCTCCCTTGGCTATTAAGGTTCTTCTCTAAGATTTCCATCCGATTGATCTCCCTAGGCTTGGTGGTGGGGAATCTCCTGGGAATAATTTCGTGTAATATAACTATGGGTGGTAAGGGTTCTAGTTGCTTTCTAATCGCCTATTTATAGAGTTAGGAATCCTAATCAGAATCTGAATAGTAAAGGCATACTTTCTATTATATTCCTAACAGATATATACGTCTAGGATTCATAATTAGAATCTGACTAGTAAAAGGTTTACTCTCTTTATTCCTAATAGGCTTAAGATTCTTGTTTAGGCAAGGGTCCACGATCCATGGTGGACCACATAAATTAATTAAATGGAATCCTCACCAAATTAAATCATATTTAATTATTATTAACGGAACTAATTAAATAATTAATCCGGGATTAAAGGCTGTAACACGGGGTGTTACACACGGGGGCATCCCGCCACTTTTACAATGACAAAAGCATGTTTAGAGTGTTTGAGCCTGTTTCTTAAGGAGAACAAGTCTTCGTGGGGAACTCGAGCGTCTCCTAGGTAAGTGGTATAGGGATAGTAGATCTCATGTTATATTCCGGGAAACAGTTATTGTTGAAAAATGTGCTATATGTCCCTTCCCTACGTAGGAACTTAATCTCATCGGGAGCCTTGCTGAATAAGGTTGGGATTAAGTTGGTGTTTGAGTCTGATCGTTTGGTCATGACTCGCTGTGGGAAATTCCTTGGGAAGGGATATCTGCATAGATGATTATTTGTGCTAGACATGCATAACTGTAATTAGACCTCCTCCCCCTATTTCTGAGGGTTCTCGTCGACCTCCGACCATTAATGACTTTATCCCAAACTGGACTGGTCCAGATGTGCTTAATAATAATGATGCTTCCCCTTTTGCTTATATCACTGTCTCAGTTAATGTTTGACATGATAGACTAGGTCATGTTGGTTTAAATTGTTTAAACAGGCTGAAAAATATATGTTTATTGCCAAACTTAACTATCAAGTAAATCATATTCTCTATGTGAAACATGTGCTGGAGCTAAATTTGCTAGAAAATCCTTTTCCTCTGTAAATCATCCCACCTCGTCTATGCTATAACTAATTCACTCAGATTTAGCAGACTTCAAAAGTACTGAAAATAAAAATTTTATAATAGAAGAGGAAGATATGAATCAAATTTTATCAAAAGCTTGTGTGAGGCTTCTGGTATTATTCATGAAGTAACTGTCAGAGTATATTAAAAGTACTAGTACAACATTGTTGTCTTCTACCAGTTTGGACCCATCATATACAACACGTCCTGCTCGTTAATGACTTTCTCTTGATGGAGTGTAGAGGAGGGTGTCAAGAGGCACATAAACCTGTGAATTCATGCTATAAATACTAATGCTACTATACCCTCAAGTGCTCAACAGAGTCAAGAATATAATAGAGAAACAAATTACAAGGGAAGGAGATCGAAGCAATGGGGAATGAATCCGAAAGCACCCAAAACAGTGCAAGATTAACAATAATGGAGCTAGCCAACATGATTAGCGTACCCATGTCCTTGTGTGCCGTCATTCGACTGAACGTCGCCGATGCCATTTGGCAAGGTGGATCCAACGCGCCGCTCTCCGCCTCCGAGATACTCTCCTCCGTCCTCCCTTCCGGCGGCGGCGATGCCTTGAACCTCCAGCGCATCCTCCGCATGCTCACCAGCTACGGCGTCTTCCGCGAACATATAAATGGTGATGCCTCAGAGAGAAGGTAGGGGTATTTCACATCTTATCATTGATTTCTTTTATCTAAAAAAAGAAAGTCACGTTTATTTTCTTTTTTTTTTAATCTAAAAAGGGATAAATAATAACGGTCACAGAAATATAATAATATAGTGTTTATCTGGATCAAACCATATTTTCTACACTTGAACTTTGGGGGTGTGGCCGGTTGAGTGAAAAAACGCACATTCATCCTTAATGAAATTAAATGTAAGAGTTCGATCCTTAACTTTGGATATAAAACAATCTTAAATTTAAAAGCTAGGTGTTTAGAGGTGACATAAATCATTAATTTGTTGAATTTTGGTAGGTATTCGGTGGGTGAGGTGGGCAAAACCCTAGTGACTGACAAGGACGGGTTATCATACGGAGCGTATGTGCTGCAGCACCACCAGGATGCGCTGATGAAGGCGTGGCCGCTGGTGCACGAGGCGGTGGTGGATTCCTCGTCGGAGCCGTTTGTGAAAGTCAACGGCGAGGCGCCGTACAATTACTACGAGAAGAAGCCGGAGATGGTGGGCCTAATGCAGAAGGCCATGTCCGGAGTTTCTGTTCAGTTCATGAAGGCGTTCCTAGACGGCTACCATGGGTTCGAAGGTGTAACGCGATTGGTGGATGTGGGAGGGAGCACTGGAGATTGCCTGAGGATGATCTTGGATAAGGATCCTAGTATTGCACAAGGAATTAACTTCGATTTGCCTGAGGTTGTTCAGAAGGCTCCCAACATTCCTGGTAATTAATAATCTATGTTTTGATGACTTCAATTCAAATCTATTATTATCATCTGGTAATTAATAATCTATGTTTTGATGACTTCAATTCAAATCTATTATTATCATCTCTATTATATTCTAGCTTTTAGGTACAATACAATAGTTGAGACATTAACTCAAGTTAATTTTGAACTTCTACAATCAATACTGAAAATAATAGGATAGTTAGGGACAATTCTAGTCAATTAAGTTACTTAGGGTTTCAAATTTTTGACTTTCAGTAGAAGTAGCTTACTGACCTTAGTTTCTTGGGTTAGATCAGTTAATTATATTATAGGCTAGTAGTTTATATTAACTTATTTTCATGTGATCCTCAATTGACAAGAGTCACAATGCAATGTTTACCAAATGCACACTACATATATATATATATATATATATATATATATATATATATATAGAGAGAGAGAGAGAGAGAATACGTAGCAACTGCTAAATTTCAGCCCTACTACCACGTCGCTATTAGAGATGAATATTGTGACTTACCCGAGAGGAATGTGGTTAATTATAATTATGAAAAAAATAACTATAATTATGATATAAATTTAAAAGTGAAGAATAATATTATCCTATTTCCTTTGATGGTTGGGTTGGGTTTACGCAGGTATAACCCACGTTGGTGGTGACGTGTTCAAAGTCGCCATACCTAATGGTGATGCCATTTTCATGAGGGTACGTACATAACCTTCAATAATATTATAATGTTATATAAGGGCCGGGTTTCATACACACATCAATATATATATATATATATATATATATGTGAATGGAAGCATAGATTTTGTGGTGGTTATGCAGTGGATGTTAACAGCATGGTCGGATGAAGAGTGCAAGGCAATCATGAAGAACAGATATGATGCACTTCCAGAGGGAGGAAAGTTGATTGTTTGCGAGCCAGTTTTGCCCAACGAAACTGACGACACTCAAAGAAAACGACTCCTCCTTGGATCAGACATCTTTATCATGACAATGTATAGGGCCAAGAGAAAACACTGGACCGAGGAAGAGTTCCGGCAGCTCGGCCTGTCGGTCGGCTTTCGCACTTCCCGGGCGTTCTACATAGATTTCTTCTTTGCCGTCTTAGAATTTCACAAGTAACAGATCGACTTATGATATTATCTCTATCTTGTACTACTACGTTTGTGGCTCGATCTAATGCCTTTAATTTGCTAAGAAGATATTGTCTCTATCTTGTAGTTTAATTTGTGGCTCTAATGCGTTTGCTAAGATATTATCTCTATCTTGTAGTTTGTGGCTCTAATGCGTTTGCTAGCTCTAATGACAGTAAGAGTGTGTTAAAATAATTGGTAATGATAATATGTTTAAGTAGTCGAAAGAGTTTACTTTGTTTAGTAGTAAATAGAATTTAAAATATAAATAAATAAATATACTCCCTCCGTCCCATTTTCCATGTCTTACTTTCCTTTTTAGTTTGTCCCAAAATGTTGTCCTCTTTCCAAAATTGAACATCAACATCATTCTACTTTTCCAATTTACCCTTATGACTTTTGCTTTTATTTCCAAAAGTAAGAAAAGTGAAGGGCATAATTGGGAAATGACATAACATTTACTTTAATTCCTTAAAAAGCGTGTAAAAAGCAAATGAGACAACCATTTCGGGACGGAGGGAGTATAAAAGTATATAATACAAATATATATACACAGATCTAAGTTCAGGTGCGGTCGCGCCTTCTCGTACGGTCAATGCGGCCGCACCAATAGTTAAACAAATATACACCATCAACGTTAGGAATGTACTATAAAAACACACACAAATTAGGTACGCATAACCAAAAACACACCATTAAGTATGAATAAAAGCATCACACAGTGTTCGGAAATACATCATTAGGGGTAGAGAGTTATATGGTGTATTCTTTTGAGTGTGTTGTGTATATTTTGGTGTATTTTTAGATTTTATTGTTGTGTATTTCTCTTACACTATTGGTGCCTATTTTTAATATTATTGTTGTATTCTGCAAACGGTCGCACGGGAGGGTGCGGCCGCATTTGAGCAAACTTCTATATACACATACATATTTGGCTATATATATATATATATATATATATATATATATATATATATATATATATATATATATATATTAAATTTCATGTATAATGCAGGAACAATAATAATTTTTTTCATTTTTCTTCATTATTTTTTATTTCATTGTTCAGTAGAGGAGTAAAATGAGAATGAGTTTTGTAATTACTGATGAATTTGATTCGAATAGAGTTTTGTAATTCATAACGGATTTGATTCGAATAGTAGGATAACAAAAGTAGACAAACAAATATGATAATGTGTATCAAAATCAATAATAGGGAGCAAAAGTCCCCAACTAAACACCACGTAACAAAGTTTGCCTCAGTTTGATATTTTAATTTTTTTATCACTTAAAGCAAATATAATAGTATAACAAATTAGTAAAATATCAACTCAATAATGAATTAAATAGTTATAATTTAAATACCTACCTAACAAAATTTTTAATGAAATTTAAAATAATCGTATATTTTTTCTATTAGATTTAAATTTTATTTCTCATGCATTCAAAAAAAAATTATTTCTCATATTTTTTTTTCTGCAAATTCACGAGTATTTGGTGTTAGTGAAGTGGAAAGATGATCCACCCGTGAAGGAAAAGTAAAGTGGTAGCAGACAACTTTAATAAGACAATAAGTACGCCAGTTTGTTTTATTATGAACTTTTTGTGGCTTAAAGGGTGAAGTGCCAAATAGCACCATGAACCAACAACGAAATGTCATCCCGCACCCTAATTTTACATAAGTGATTATTTGATTCACAAACTAAAAAAATTTGTTCGTCTAGCCTTTTTTACAGGTAACCTTCAAGTTAAAGGTAATAAGTTGGTGATGTGGATGTAATTTGGCAGATACGTGTGTTGTTTTGTAGATGCAGCAATGTGAGTAGATGTGGCATCTATTCAGCAGTTTAATTACTTAGGCAAAATTAACATCAATTTCAACCCCAATTTCAATCTCTAAGGCGGAATGGTGTAGACTGGCTGGATCCGAAAGGAAGTCTACTTTGATCGGTCGTTTTGTAAGAAGTCGACCACCTCTGGATATCGCGATGGTCTCCTGATTGGAGACCTTGGAGAGACACTGCTCTGATTTCGGTATGGCTACATCTCCCAAACCTACCTTTACATTTGTTTGATTTCTCTGTTTTGAGTAGAATCTGTGGCCCGATTGGAGAGCTGTTGGCCTTGGATAATGCGACTGAGAGACGAACAAGACCAAACACTGCTACGCTAAGGGTAGAGATTGCTCTAATTGTTGTCAAATTGGGCATGTTATTACCACTTGTAGAAGACTGGGGGTGGAGGTAGAACCAGGAAATCCAGAAACTCGAAAAGTAAATTGAAGCACACCAAGTGTTTGTAGAAATGTCTCAATGATTACTCCTGGGCAGAACTATTATAGAAGCAAGCAAGGTGGCAGTGAGAATGTCTCTGAAGGCATGGGAAATCCAGTAGAGAGAAATCAGAATGAGCAGAATGCTGAGCAAGGCATCTAACACGTGATGAAGTTGAGGAAGAAGACATCTTGTAGAGCTGTCGGTTCGACGGAGGAACTGGAGCTTTGCGATAGGAAGAAGAAGAAGACTCCGTAGCTTTCCGATAGGAAGAAGAAGACGACTCCGTATACAATAGTTTTGCGATAGAAGAAGAAAACTCCTGTATAATTAAGCACAATCAACATCCACGTCATTTTTTACCGGAGCCATGTCACCAAGTCAACAGGGAAACTTGTAAAAAAGGCTAAGCGAACAAATATTTTTAGTTTGTGAATCAAATAATCACTTATGTAAGATTAGGGTGCGGGATGACATTTCGTTGTTAGTTCATGGTGCTATTTGGCACTTCACCCTGGCTTAAATAATAAGTTATTGTCCATTATTCTAAAAAAATATCTCCACTATCCAACTTTCTCCATTATCTTATCATTGTATTATGTAAAATTAACGGTGCGAAAGAGCTGAGGTCGGTTTGGAGGAATCGTATGCACACTACTGGAAATTATGGAATTTCCGACTACCTGAAAGTAATCTTATATCAAGTCAAAAGCAAAAAGTGGTCGGAAATAGCAATAAAAGTTTTTCCAAATACTAAAAGTGATTGGAACAAGACTTTCAACTTGATTTAAGATCGTTTTCAGGTGGTCGGAAATTCCATAATTTTCAACCGTGACACTTGCGTCTACCTAAAATGACTAGTCTGTGTATCAAGGTGATGTGTCAAGAAGCCAGGTGGTTAGTCAAAATGTCTCTCTTCCTCTTACAAATTATCAAAGTGCTGAAATGGGCATTAATCTATCACATGCGTGTGTATGTGCTTTTAGAGACAACCACTAAGAGCATCTCCAACCTACTCAACACCAAAACACCAAATTTCTCCCCCAAATGTCACATCAGAAGGAATATTCTCAGCATATTCTCACACCAAATTTTATTCATCTCCAACCCATTTACACCAAAATACTAAAACACCAAACTTTTACACTAAAATAATTTTATTTTTCAATTATTAGTTCGAATTTAGTTAGTTTAATATAATTTAGTTCAAACTTAATTAGTTTAATATAAAATATAATTTGTAATGTAAATAATAATTTTTATTAACACTAATTTTTATAACATTAATTATTTTTAAAAAATCAAAATTAACAATATTTTTGAAAATTTAATTTATTCCACAATAATAATACAACATACAACATCTAGTACATTTAATTATCGGAATTACTATATCGTTCCCACAAATGCTCAATCAATGCATTACGGAGTGCATAATGAGCTTCTTTATCTTTAATTTGTCTATTCCGAGCAAGGAATTCTTGAAATATAATATTCTCATCTCTAGCTATATCAACTTCAGGAGTCGGTGCTTCCTTCCAACCTTGTATATCTGCTTGCTCATCATGTTCGTCCTCAATGATCATATTGTGCATTATAATGCAAGATGACATTATATCATGCAATACACATTTATCCCAAAAACGTGCCGGTCCCTTGACTATTGAAAATCGTGATTGGAGAACTCCAAATGCACGTTCTACGTCTTTTCTACACGCTTCCTGCATCATCGCAAATAACTTCTTTTTGGGCCCTCGAGGTTCATGAATTGTTTGTACCAATGTAGACCATTTTGGATATATACCATCTGCTAAATAATATCCAGTGTTGTACTGTTGTCCTTGAATAACATAATGACAAGGAGGTGCTATACCGTTTGCAAGATTTGAAAACAAATAAGATGCCTCCAATACATTAATGTCGTTATTCGAAGCCGGCATACCAAAATGTGCATGCCAAATCCACAAATCATAATCGGCTACAGCTTCAAGAATAATAGTTGGTTCTCTACTCCTCCCAGCATATTGTCCAGCCCAGGCAGTTGGACAATTTTTCCATGTCCAGTGCATGCAATCTAAACTCCCAAGCATCCCTGGAAAACCACTTTTTCGCCAATTTGAAGCAACCGTGCAACATCATTAGCATCAGGTGCTCTTAGATATCGCTCCCCGAAGACCTCTACAACTGCTCGACAGAATCTCTTCAAACTTTCAATTGTAGTTGATTCTCCAATCTGGATATATTCATCTGTTGCATCTGCTGGTATTCCATACGCCAAAACTCGAAACACCGATGTAACTTTTTGTAAAGTAGATAAGCCCAGTCTACCGATTCTATCCTTCCGTTGCACAAAATAGTTGCCATGGCCTTTAACAGCATTGGCAATTCGTAGGAACAAATTTTGACTCATTCGAAATCGTCTACGAAACATTGCTTCAGAATATTTTGGATACTCTGAAAAATAATCATTCCATAATCTTCGATCTGCTTCTTCACGATCATGATGAAGCACTCTATGACCAAAAGTTGAACTTCCATGCCTTGGGGGTTGATTATCCATATTTTCCATGTAGGAAGCTATGGCAAGGTTGTGGCTAGTATATGCATGGGTTAATAACTGTGTTTGTGCTCGTATTGCACTTGCGAGATTGTGCTCAGAATCCGGTGATGATGATGATGAGGATGAGGAAGATGAGGATGATGATGAAGAAAATGGCATAGGACGTTTTCCAGTGTTGGAATTCATATTTGAATTCGTATGTTTAGAGATAGATGATAAGGGGATGAATGCTCAATTTGTTGGTGATGAAGAACGTTTTTATAAGCTTTATCTGGATTGTTTAGAACCATTAGATTAGATCGCGAAGATCACATCCGTTCATAGGTATGCTTGTCCTTTTCCATACATACTCCAATAAAAGAGATCACATGCATCTTTGAATCAGCTTTTATCTGAAATGTTTTGAACCGTTAGATTAGATCGCGAAGATCACATCCGTTCATTGGTATGCTCTTGTCCTTTTCCACACATACTCCAATAAAAGAGATCACATGCATCTTTGAATCAGCTTTTATCTGAAATGTTTTGAACCGTTAGATTAGATCGCGAAGATCACGTCCGTTCATTGGTATGCTCTTGTCCTTTTCCACACATACTCCAATAAAAGAGATCACATGCATCTTTGAATCAGCTTTTATCTGAAATGTTTTGAACCGTTAGATTAGATCGCGAAGATCACATCCGTTCATTGGTATGCTCTTGTCCTTCTCCACACATACTCTAATAAAAGCGATCACATGCATCTTTGAATCAGCTTTTATCTGAAATGTTTTGAACCGTTAGATTAGATCGCGAAGATCACATCCGTTCATTGGTATGCTCTTGTCCTTTTCCACACATACTCCAATAAAAGAGATCACATGCATCTTTGAATCAGCTTTTATCTGAAATATTTTGAACCGTTAGATTAGATCGCGAAGATCACATCCGTTCATTGGTATGCTCTTGTCCTTTTCCACACATACTCCAATAAAAGAGATCACATGCATCTTTGAATCAGCTTTTATCTGAAATATTTTGAACCGTTAGATTAGATCGCGAAGATCACATCCGTTCATTGGTATGCTCTTGTCCTTTTCCACACATACTCCAATAAAAGAGATCACATGCATCTTTGAATCAGCTTTTATCTGAAATGTTTTGAACCGTTAGATTAGATCGCGAAGATCACATCCGTTCATTGGTATGCTCTTGTCCTTTTCCACACATACTCTATAAAAGAGATCACATGCATCTTTGAATCAGCTTTTATCTGAAATGTTTTGAACCGTTAGATTAGATCGTGAAGATCACATCCGTTCATTGGTATGCTTATATCTCTATAAATACTACAATTTGATTTTAGAAGTAATACCACCTATCTTTTGAATATCAATATCTCTTTACATTTCTTTCTAGTTTAACAGTCATTGAAACATGTCAAAACCCTCACGTTCAATCCGAACTTCTTCATACTCAAATGAAGAAGATAAACTCCTTTGTACTATATTTATGGATATTTCCCAAGATCCTGAAAAGGGCAATGATCGCTCTGCATTAGATTTATGGGAACACATTGCACAAGAATATAAACAAATGCTACCGGCACACATTTGTACGGATCGAACTTCAAGATCGTTGAATAGTCGTTGGGCAAATATATCAACAGCGATTAGCAAACTAAGAGGGTGCATTCAACAAATAGAGAACATGAACCCAAGTAGTGCATCAGAAACAGATATTGTGAGTATCTTGTAATTTTTTGTTATTTAGTTTTCTCTTATTTTTGTTATAATTGCGTTGTTTAATTGGAATTATATTTTATTTATAACAGCTTAATAGAGCAAAAGAGTTAGTAAAGCAAGATCCCAAATTCAAAGGCGGATTTAAGTTTGATCATGTATGGCCGATTGTCAAAGACATGCAGAAATTTTGCAGAACTGGAAGCTTGCGAAATGCTGGGGTCGAAAAAGAACTTTCAAAGGATCACAATCACAATCTTTTGGAACCGAGAAGTCAATAGGCTCTTCCTCATTTGCTGTTGAATTGAATGATGATTTTGAAACTGATGAACATTGTAATGAAATGAACAATGTAGGTGAACGTCCTACGGGAAGGAAGAAGGAAAAGATGAAGCATAAACTCTCGAATGAGCGCAATCAATTTATTTCCGCAATGGAACAACAAACTGCACAATTCAAATGAATGTTCGAAAACAATCATGAGCTACTCCAAAAACAATATGATCTTGATTTGCTTAAAAGCTCAAAATGCAGCAAACAAAATAACATTGGGAAAAGAAAAAATGGCATTGGCAAAACGAAAAGAAGATAACAAAATCTTAAGAATGAATTTAAATTTGATAGAAGATCCAGCTATGCGTGAGTCGGTTAGACGCCAACAACTACAAATTGTTGCAGAGAGAAATCAAGAGCATGGAGGAGGAGTTGAATCAAATCGTGAATTTGATAAATACTTCGAAAATTTGGGAGGAAGTGGGAGTGGATTAGGAAATTATTAATTTTAAGAAACTTTTTCAAAATTGTGTTGTATTTTCTAATATTATTATTGTGTCGTATGTATTTTAATTTTTATTATGTTCTAGTCATGTTTGATGTATGTCGTATGTATTTTAATTTTTATTATGTTCTAGTCATGTTTGATGTATGTCATATGTATTCTATCTTTTATTATGTTCTAGTTATGTTTAATGTATTTGAAATTTTAATTAATATATAATTATATATTCAATATTAGTCTTGTTTCGATCGTCTCAATGAGATTTTTCAAATGGTATAATTTATATTTAATAATACCAACTTTAAATATAAGTATTTAACAAAACAAAAAATTACATATAAAACAAATAAAGGATACATATGGAATTATAAAAAAAAAGTAAGGGCAAAAGGGTAAAATTATTTCTTATTTCTCAATTGCCGCGGATGAACAGTGTCGCGCCATATATGGCGCGGCACTGTTCATCAACGCCAATTAATTTGGCGTTATGGCTGAATGGCGACTCACCTTGGAGTGAGAAATTTTAAATATTTGCCGTTTTGCAGTTGAGTTTTGCAGGGATAGCGCTACCTTGGAGATGCTCTAATATACTAGCTGTCAATTCCAATAGAGGTACACATCAAGTTCTCTAGGAGAGATAACCAAAAATGTGTGGATTTAACATTAATTCGACAAAAATGTGTTGATTCAAAACCCTAAATAAAAATGTGTTGATTCAAAATCCTAGACAAAAATGTGTAAAGTACTAATGTCATTACCTTCTTTTCAAAACTCTATTTGAAAAGAAGGGAATTGAACTACCTTCATTTATTTTCTTGTTGCTTTAATTTGACTGGAAATGCCACAAAAAATGCAATGCAATTGCCTTCTTTTCACTTTCTTTATTTAAAAGTTAAGAAGGCAATATTATTGTCTTCTTAACTAATATATAAATTAATTAGAGTTGCAAACACCATTAATTTGTTTAATATATGTAATTATATGATTTTCAAAACGATTAAAGAATTGATATTGTTTGATAAGCATCCTTCCTATTTCTATATTTAATTTAACTAGTAATTTACCCGCGCAATGCACGGGAAAAAATTATGTTATTATAAATATAATTAAAAAAATAATAAAAATAAAAACATTTTAAATTTTTTAATATAATAATATTAAACAAAAGAGAAGGATCATGGAAAGTAATAGAAAAAATGGAGCCAGACATTAAAGAACCACCTTCTACCGGTAGAGATTGTGGAGTGTACTTTTCTATCTTCTCAAATGCTTCAAAGAAGTGGCAGAAGCGAGAAGGGATGAAGAAAACAAATGGTGCGGGCCGTGGGTCAATTATTGAACTTCAGAATTTAAAAAAAAAAAAAATCATTTGAGCCATAAATAAAAATTTAAATATATAAATGTATATATATATATCATATAGGTTTTTAATGTTTTTCTGGATTTTTAAATTTAGGACTTTTAAAAGAAAAAAAAAATCCATTTGAATTATCTCCACAAAAAGTGGTCTTGGGCTTATAGAATGACATGTGAGTTTATGGAATGACATGTGCATAAAGAATATATTATATAATCATATAAAAAAAATGTGTTCAATTAGAGTTTAAATTTACTCCTACAAAATTTGAAATTTGCTTTCTAAATGTAATTATCTTAGTTATTATTTGTATTGTGAAAATTATAATATAGATGAAATACAATTAGAATAAATCAATGTAATTATGTAAATTCTCTTATAAGTTTATTTTAATATGTACATAATTAGAGATTATATTAACCATACAAAATTTTAATTTTAATTTTAATTGTAATTTTGTGTTCTATAAAAATAATAAATACTTGACCAATGGAAGCTCAAAAATATTATTATATTAAACAATTTACAATATTTTTATTTTTTCTATTTTTTTATTTATATTTATAATAACATAATAATTGTAACATTAATTACTTCCCAAACCATATAGCTTTATTATAGTTAAGATTAGAACACAATCATTGTAATATTTTATTACTTTGATTTTTTTTTTAAAAAATATTATTTTATTAAACATTACGGAGTAATTAATAACATAAAGTTTTCAAAAAAACAAATCACATAAACAAAGATTTTAAAATTTTAAATAGTCATTTGTAGTACGATGGATTGCATGATAATAATAACGTATTTTAAATATTTTTATTATGTATTTTTATTTATTTTATTATTTGTATTGCGGTGAACTTGATAATTATAAATGTGTAATTATTAGTGCAACTATATTGTAATTTTTCATGACATTCATATTAACAAAGGAGCAATGGATTACATAGAGGGCATATCGTCATCAACGTAACGACGGTGACGACCAAAGTCCATTTCATTAGGAAATTGACTTCTACATTGTTGACCTCTATGAGCTTTCCGGCGGGCACTTGAGGGTGGCAGGCACGTGAGTGTTGTGGTCAACTGAACTTCGTCATCCGACAATGGATTCAAGTCTCATGCATAACTCATTATGTAATATTGTAACGAGAAGACTTGTGGCACAAAGGAGTCCGGGACAGTCCCTCTATAATGGCATGCGAAAATGATATGTGTACAAGGTAAGCCATCTATAGCCCAACGACTGCAGCTACATGTCCGATCAGTCAAATTTACCTTAACATAGCGTGGCTGGCCCAGAGAACTAGAAGTTGATTCAAGTGCTACCTCATATATCCCTCTTTGGTTGTTATAGGAGCGAATGATTGCATTTTACTTGAACCGTTCTCGAGCGGACATCTCCTTATCAATATCGATTGGCCAACGCAATCCAGCTTGTTGCATTAACTCACTAGCGGAATGCCTGTTTTGAAACATAGCCACTAATTTGTGGAAAGTCAGTTGGGCGATAGTAGTGACAGGTAACATTCGACAACCCATTAGGTTTTCTAGCTAGTAAGGCTTTTAATGAGGTATGATTTTTGATATAGTAATATCAAAAGGGGAAAATTGCATATAAATACTTAAATAGATAAACCCCAAAGACCTGAAGATTATACACGGAATGTTTATGATTGGTTATCCTGAAGATTATGCCCAGAATGCTTGTGGTTGTACTCTTTTTCCCATGGCTAAGTTTTTCTCACTGGGTTTTCTTGGCCAAAGGTTTTTAATGAGGCAACCGGTGTAATACATCAATTTTACATACTTTGTGTACACTTTTCTCCGACCAGTTTTTTTCCACAGATTTTTTCGAGCAGAGTTTTTAATGAGGCCTGAGAATGGTTAGACAATGGCCAATGGGGAGTATTATAAATATTAAGTTATTGGCCATTATTCTATGATTAAAGTACCAAAATGGTCCATCGACTATAGCGAAAGTACCGGCTTAGTCCTCGACTTATTTTCTTGACTGATCCAGTCATCAACTATTCAATTTATAACCAACTTGGTCCTCCATCAGTTTAGGTGTTAAGTCATCGTCTCTTTTGAGGGCAAAATAGAACTTTCACTCTTTTCTCTCTTCTTTCACTCTTTTTTTTTTTTGTTTACCTTGCGTCGTTAGCGATGTGGAGAGGCAGAGCAGTCGTAGCAGCCAAGCAAGCGGCGTAGGCGGGACTCTGCAGCTTGGAAATGCCAACGGATATGGAGGCGACCGACGAGCTCTTCAACAAACCCATCAACATCATCATCTCGCCAATTTTTTTTTTTTGTTAGATTTCAAATTTGGCCGACTGCACCACTAGACTCCACCCTCGCCATCAACGTACGCGTCAGCCAAACCAGAAGAAGAGCATAGGTCACCGCATCAAGCCTAAGGCCGCATTATTTGCGTTCAGCGATTTGGGGTTCAATTCGATTTGTGAGGGCTCGATAAACTTTGAAGATGGAAGACGATTTCCCAATTGCACGCCGCTTAAGAAAACCCTAGCTAATCTCCAGCAAAACCTCAAACCAGAGACAAACAGACAAATCAAAGAATTGATGAGAGCTTTGAAAATTGAAAATTGAAGTTTACGAATTTTTTTTTCGCTAAATAGAATTCGACAAAGTTTTGAAAATTGAATTGAATTTTGGAGCGAAGGTGACGGGGTGGAGTTGCCAACGTCGACTCGTCGTGCGCCGCTAGAGGAGCCAGTGGAGACGGAGGTGGGAGGAGACTGGGGTGGTGGAAGCGTGGAACACTGACTGGAGTAGATTGGGGAACCTGCCATGGTTGGTTGCTCGCCATCGCTGCCCACCATCACCATCCTCTCTGAAATTTGCAAACATGAAGCACTGACGTTGTAACACAAACGATTTGTAACACAGTTCGGGCAAACAACCTTAATCTGCGAGGCACTTCTCAATTTGAGAACTTGCCTAAATCCACTAAAAGCTCAATATTTAAAGTACACTGTTTGGAACCTGAGATTACATAATAGAATGATCTTTCCTACCAAACTATTGAAACCTAAACACATGTACTACTTTCTAGGGGAATTTAGTATCCTATTCTCAAAGACTCTCGTACCTCACAAGATTAATGTTGAATGCTT